CCTTTTTCTTTTTCTTTTTGGCAGTACAGAGGTTTGAATTCATGGCCTCATGCTCGCTAGGCAGGCGCTCTACCAATGACCCACTCCTCTAGCCTTTTTCTGTGTTGGGTATTTTTGAGAGATCTTTTTTTCTGGTGTGGGGGGGGGTCTGGGTTTGCCTCAAACCAAGTTCCTCCTGATCTCTGCTTCCTGAGTAGCCTGAGTAGCTAGGATTACAGGCGTGAGCCACTGGCGCCCAGTATTTTTTGGGGGATGGTGGTGGTGATGGCAATGGAACCCAAGGCCTCATGCATGCTAGGTTAAGTGGTCTACCTTTGAGCCACATCCCCAGCCCTTGTATTTGGGGGCTTTGAAGAAAAGTCAGGGTCCTTTTCAGGGTCCTGGTTTTACACAAAGTTCCAAAATCTACCAGGCAAAGATGACCACAATGGCTTTTCTGACCAAGCGCCTAAATTTATGTTCACCTGGGGCTTTGGCAGAGCTGTTCTGAAGCTCACACAGACCATGGCTTCCTTCTGGGTGCTTGGGGCTTACGCCTGTAATCCTAGCTACTCAGGAGGCAGAGGTAAGGAGGACTGCAGTTCAAAGCCAGCCCAGGCAAAAGTGTGTGAGACCCTATCTTGAAAAAAACATCATAAAAAAGGGCTGGTAGAGTGTGGCTCAAGGTGTAGGCCCTGATTTCAAGCCCCAGTACCGCAAAAAAGAAAAAAAAAAAAAGGCTTCCTTGCAAGCCAAGGGGTGACAGTTAAGTCAATCTGGCTTCATGCTGCCCTCCTGGCTGTGGTTATGGCCACGGCCTGCCCCAGCGTTCTCAGGCTTGATTGTACCTAAGGAAGCTTTACAAGCTATTAAGCCTGAGAGTCTGATTTAACTAATCTGGAGTTTTAAAGGCTCCCCAGGTGATTCTAATGTACATTCAAGATGAGACACCTTTAAGGTCCACAGGATGATGATGATCTTGGGCAAGTTACCTCTCTTGCCCCCATGTGAAAATCAGATAAGGACAGTTAATGGATAAACAGGGAAGCTTCTGCAGTACCCCCTAGGGAAAATTAAAGCTGCTGCTTCTCCTTTTTTTCTTTTTTTTGGTGGATTGGGGTTTGAACACTTGCTAGGCAAGTGCTTTAACACTTGAGCCAAGCTGGCCTCTAACATGAGAGCCTCCTGCTTCAGCCTCTGGAGTGGTGGTGGAATTACAGGTGTACACCACCATGCCCAGCATAGGATTTAAGTTTACTGAGCCTACAGAATGATGGTTCTCAAACGTGCTTCCAGAACACCTGGAGGACTTGTCAAAACACAGATTACAGAATTTCTCCCTCCCCTAGTTTCTCTCTCTTTAAAAAAATTTTCTATATGTATATATATTGTGCTGGGAGATCAAACCCCAGTGCCTTGTGAATGCTAGGCAAGAGATTTACTTTCAAATTGCAACCCCAGCTCTCACTCCCCAAGTTTCTGATTCAGGTCTCAGTGGAACTCCAGGATTTGCATTTCTAGCAAGTTGTCAGGTGGTGATGATGCTGCGGGTCTAGGGACCACACTTTGAGAAATCGCTGCTCTAGGGGCTGGGAGCATAGCCCAGTGGTAAGGCGCTTATCCAGTGTGTGAGGCCCTGGTTTCCATCCCCAGCACAGGGTGGGGGTAGGGGATCACGAATGTTAAGGAGGGGTTTCTCAATAGCATCACAATGACTTTTTGAACTAATTCTTTGTATCCAGCTTCTACCCATTAGATGCCTGTAGCAACCCTCTAGGTACCTCCAGACATTGTCAAATGTTCCTTAGGGACAAAATTGCCCTAAGCTAAAGAATGCAAGAGACTAGGTGGGTTATGGAATTGGGTGAGAAAAAAATATTTAAAGTCTAGGAGACTGGTCCCACCCAGGGCTTGATGCAGAGGGAGGCCACTCACGCAGGACTCTTACAGCGAAGGCCACTATGAAATTAGGTCTCAGTAGAGACAGCTGAGGGTAGCCTTGGAGCTGACTGGGCTTTGGATGGCTCCATAGAAACAGAAGCTTCCATGTTAAATTGATCTCCCTCTTTGGGCTGAGGCTCTTGATTTGCTTTTCTTTTCTTTTTTATTGGTGCTAGGGATGGGATGCAGGGCATAGCACATGTTGAACACACTCTACCACTGAGTTACACCTCCATCCACAATCTCTTCAAAAGAGCAATTCTGTTCTAACCCAAATTGTTCCACAGCTGTTCCTTAAGGCTCAACTGGCCCCAACCCCAAACTGCTTAGAGTTCTCTTACTTGTTTCCCTGTCCCAAAATCGAGGCTTTTTCTTTTTTGGCGAGGCTGGGGTGTGAATCAGAGTTTTGTGCTTGCAAAGCAGGTGCTCTTTGCTTGAACCCCACTCCAGTCCATTTTGCTTTGGTTATTTTGGAGATAGGATCTCAATAACTATTTTCTCAGGCTGGCCTCAAACCTCAATCCTTCCTATCTCAGCTACCCAAGTAGCTACAATTACAGGCATGACCTCAAAATATATTAGTAAGCAGCAGACTGTAGGTCCATCAGTGAGAAGCAAATACTTGACAGTTCTGTTGTGAAGTGACTGTCCTTTCTAGCTGCTAACTAGACTGAGCCCCTGGACAAAGTCATTCTTGTCTTTGAAGTTCAGCAGCAGTCTGTTTACTTGGAGCAGTAGACAACCAGATCTGCCTCCCAAGAGGATTCACCCTTGCCTAACTCCAGGAGGCCCTTGAGATTCCATGAGGTCTCTAGGGATTCTCCTCTTACCTGAAAAGGGGTCACTGTCCCTGTACAAGCAGAAGACAGTACCAACCTGTGCTCTGACGGGCCTGTGTTTAACCTCTAGTACCATCAAAAATAAATAAATGAAAAAAGTGGCCTGAAAGTCCACCTCCCTGACAATTCAAAAAAGCCACCCAGTAAATAATTTGGCTCTTTAAAGTGCCAACAGTATTAAGTACTAGAGACTGGAAGTCATAAAGGGAAATTAACTGAACCAGAGATGCCATTACTCATTTGGGAGCAATCTATTTCTCCCCAAGTGAGAAGACAATCCACACCCTCTGGGGATATTTTATGTCCAAATCTTTATTCCCCAGGCTGCGGCTTTTATTCTCTTCAAATCCTAAGTGGCGCGGCTGTTTCCTGCTAATGGCTCCTACCCAGTCTCCTGAAGAAGGCGCTTGAAGCCTGAAGCTGAGGTTAGAGGAAAGCTCTTGCAGTCTCCGATCCTCCTAGACATCGCCCACCTCTCAAGGGACTGGGAGGCTTATAAAAGTGCAATGCAAGCTGGGTGCCAGTGGCTGTAATCCTAGCTAACTGGGAGACTGAGGTCAGGAGGACTGTGGTTTGAGGCCAGCCTGGGCAAACAGTCCGAAAGTCCCCCATCTCCAAAATAACCAGAGCAAAATGGACTGGAGGTGTGGCTCAAGTGGTACAGTGCCTGCTTTTGCAAACTCGAAGTCCTGAGTTCAAAACCCAGTCCCACCAAAAAAAAAAAAAAAAAAGGCAATGCAATAGCTCAAGCCTTGCTTCATCTCAAGCAAAGAAAGATGAGATAGGTGGAGGCGACTGGACCAATTGAGGCACATGGACCTCATGGAGCTGGTGCTTAAAAGGGATGAGGGTGCCACCTGTGGTAACGTTGAAGAGCAGCTGGTAGGCCATCTTTGCCCATGCCTCTCCTGGTTAAGGGCATAGCCATATATACAATCACAATCACAGCTCAGCCCAGAAATCTGAGACACCATTTCCTCTGGGGATCTCTCAGTACTTTATGTTGAAGGCTCCAAGAAATGAAACCAGCTTCATGTTGTTTAACCCAGTCTCTCCCAGACCTGGTATCTAAGCACAGGAGCTTTCCGCTCAAAGTATGTAACAACCTACCTGGGAAAGAGCATTCTGTGAAGTACAACTTAGAAAGTCTCAACCTAGAGGATGGAGTACCAGAACTTCAAGCTGCTCCCCATCTCTAACCACACTCAAGTTCTTTGGTTCACGAAATATGCTATGCCTCCAAGCTTGTGTTTGTTTCCTGGAATGCGCAAGTTTTTTTTTTTTTGTCCACCTGGCAAGTCCTACTCACTCTCCCAGTCCCCATCCAAGAATAATCACATCATCTGTGAAGCTACCTCATTTCTCCCAGGCACAATAAATCGCTTCCTCCTGTGTTTCCAGTGCACTTTATTCAAACTTCATCTACTTTATTAAAAGGAATTGGTCTGAGAGCTTTACCATGCTGTTGGCTCCTTCATTAACAAGTCAAATAACTCTTTGGCACGTGCTCACTTAAAATTTGAAACAATGGGAAGGAAATTATCCTTTTGTTTTTGTCCTCAGCAACCATGCATGCCACATAAATAGGGTTGGTGTTTGTTGAATGACTATGCCCCAAACCCAGGGTAATATCCTCTATTTTAAGATAAATGTATGATCCAGGTTCATGAACTAAAAGGAGAAAGCTAAGCATGCTCAGAACAGGCTGGAGATGCAAAGACCTCTTTGTTTTGAGATGGAAGATTCAGAAAAGAACATATTCTTCCTCCCAGTGCCAGATGGGATCCACTACTGCCTGTACGTGTGCCAGGCCCAGGATACTGAGGATCCAGGGAGGAAGGAACCTGTCTTAGTGGTAGAATGTAAACAGTAGTTTTCTTAGTGTCCCTGTCAGTGAAGGAAATGGCAGACAAACAGAAATATAAAAAGTCTCAAAAAGTGTCATGGGAGGTGCATCAAAGCATCCTCATGTTCCACTTGAGTCAAGTAGGAAGCAGCATTCCGGCCAATGTCATTTCTGCCAGCTGAGACTACTGCCTACTGCAGAAGCACGGAGTGTAGGGACTACTGCTCAGAAGACAGCTTTGAACAGGAGGCAGACCAGACGGGCCCTGTTACTGAGACTGTGTGCCAGTACACAAGACCTGGGTCCTGTAAGACCTATTTATTACCTTTTGGCGGCTCTGATTCTAGTAGAAGAACAATACTTGTTACTGATAAATAATTTCAGTGTTTGCCATTTTCACGGGAGAGAGGAAACCTAAAAACACCTAAAAAGGGATCCCCCTCCCCCAAGCACACAGCCTCTTGGAGTTTAAATGGATTGCATTCCCTGGCCTCATCACGCTCTGCTCTGATCTACAGCAATCAATCCTGAAAGAGAAGACAGCAATAAATCTGATCACAAGGCTTGTGTAAAAAGGCATCTATTTGGCTTTTAATACAAAATGACTCAGAGAAACATAGAAAGAAAATATAATACAAGCCAGTTAACCAGATTAAAAATAAAACGAAATAAAAAATTAAACCAAGGCAAAAACTTATATTTCATTTGTCCCTCTGAAAAAAACCTTTTTTTTTTTTAAAGGGAGAAACCAGTCCTGAAATCTAGCAGGTGAGGCCATGGGGCTTGTCTTAGTCATCCTGGTGAATGGGGTACAAGTAATTGTTGGAATATGGCCACCACCTCCTGCTTCTTGCAAGCAGCAGTCATCTGACGGGAGGTCAGCCTGGCACCTCTGATGCAGTCAATTATGCAGTCTGAGGCCTCCAGGTCAAGCAGTCTTGGAGTCCTCCATTCCGTATCTTCACTGAATCTCCCCCATGTACAGCCTCTTGTCACTGGAGGCCGAGAGAACTGAGGTGAAAGAGCAGAGGGGAGAACTGGAAACAATGAAGGCTCAAGGAGACAGTGCTTAAGGGCTCTTATGCCGAGAGCCAATTTTGGTATAAAGAGCAATTGGATTTAGCTTGAGTTTCCTCCTCAACACCATCCACATGGAACTGTAGCCTGGCTTTTCAGTCCAAGTCCTCTCAAAACCATGAGGAGGACTATACTATGGGAAGTACGTTATCAGGCTCTAAATCCTGATACCTCTTATGAGTCAAACTCCCAGAAAAAGATCTTCCCAGCCATCCTAGGAAAGAGGAATCACTATCTGTGCCAGTTATTTCATAAATGTGCTTTTGCTTGCTATATTGAACCCTGGAGAAAGTTACAGTTTCTCTTTAGATTTAAGGCCTATTAATTAGATTAGCCAGCAAATAAAAGTTGAGTCACAACTTATATCTACATGTTAAACACTACTCGCACTTATTGTCCTAACTACTCCAGAGACTGAAGCAGAAAGATCACCTAAGCCCAGGAATTCAGGACCAGCCTGGGCAACACAGTAGGACTCCTGTCTCAAAACAAAACAAAATGAAAATAAAACAAAAACAATGAAATATCCCAAACATGCCTATTATTCAAATATAACACTGAAGTATAGATTTGAAGCAAGTGATTGCAAAAGAACTAAAAATAGCCTAACCAACTTTCCTCTTGAGACACAGAGGACAGCGATGGCAAGACTGTCACTGATATCTATAAAGACTGTGTGAATGGAAATTCACATGATACAGATGTCCATTTCTGCCTCAGTCTTCCCACAGCCCTCTGGGTAGATGGTCCCAGTTCCCTTTTCCCAATAGTTAGGAAAGACTTACTGATGGGTTCATCTGGGTGGAAAGCTACTTCATTGATGGAGCCAGCATGGCCAGGTAGCTTATACAGGATTCTCCTGCTGGTGGTGTCCCATACATACACAAACCTGCAAGGTGTCAATGAGACAAAGGGTTCTGATGATAGCAGGTTGTGTCCTGCTATCAGTTATTCATATTGTACAGAACAGTAGTTTTCAGGTTGTGCCATCCCTAGAGTGACTCCATTTTGTAAAGCAGTTTGCTCCATTCTGAGTGCAAGTGCTGAGGTAGAATGGCTTGGTTGTCTGGGCAAGTAGATAAGTACTAGAATGCATCAAACAGAACAACCTTCTGCTATATAGCACAACCACAAGGCACAGATAAGCAACTTAAACAAAAAAATTACCTCTTTTAAACTTTTTTTTTTTTTTTTTTTGGTGGTACTGGGGTTTGAACTCAGGGTTTACATGCTTGCTACGCAGGTACTCTACTACTTGAGCCACTCCACTAGCCCCTACCTCATATAAGCTTTACCAAATTAAGTCAGAAATATATGGGTTTATCAAAACCAAATCAGAAAAATCAGACTCAAGTTTATCAAACATACAAGATCAGAGTGATGCAACTCTATCACCTGGATCATGTAAAGAGGACCACCTAATACTGGGCTTAGGTGGTACCTAGTGACCCATCTTCAGGCCATTGGTGTATGTGTCATGAACTCCTTACTGTCCTGGGAGCTTCAGTTCAACCCAATCTTCCTGCTGCTGCAGTCTACTCCAGCCTACTTGAACTGCTGTTTGTCCAGGCCCCTGTGCCTTCAATTAGCTCTGACCTTGAACCAGCTCTGTCCCTTGGCAACTCAGTGCCTGAATAGCTTTGACTAATAATACCTTATTTAACCACCTGCAATGACTCTCTGCAGGGCCTCATGCATGCCAGGCAAGCACTCTACCACTAAGCTACATTCCCAGTCCGTAAATTATTATCAATGTTTATAATTAATTGGGATGGAATAAAAGAACCTGTTATTGACAACAATCACAAGTACCAAGTAAAATCCAGAATATTTGGTGATGTAAATTAAAATTGATGCATGTTATCAACTTGTTATTAAATAAATTATACTTGTGGAATGTGCAAAGATACAAATGTGTCCATATTACTAGCAGAGCAAGTATGGTATGATCCCCAGCACTGAAAAAAAAGCCAACCTAGCTCTGATGCAGCATTATACTTTTGGGCTAAACTGCAAATAAAGTGAGTATGGTGCTACAGGCCAGTAATCCCAGGACCAGGGAGACTGAGGCAAGAGAATCATGAGTTTGATGTGAGCTTGGGCTAAACAGTGAGACCTTTTTCACTTGCCCTACCCTCAAAAAGCAAATAATCAAGAGCTTCTTACAGCTCTCATAGGAACTGTGTAAATTCCAAGCAAGACAGACGTGGACTACCATTTCTCCACGCCCCTCAGTTCTGATGCTCATGCTTTCCATGCTGTCTTTTTTCTCTGCCACATACAAATAACTAGACTTCATCAATTCAGCTAAGGTCAGTGTGGCATAGTAAAACTGTATGGACACAAAAGTCTAAAAGACCTGTGTTAGGGCTGGAGGCATGGCTCAAGTGATAGAATGCCTCTCCCGCAAGCACAAAGTCCTGCATTCAAACTCCAGTACTTCAAACAAATGTGAAGCTCAGAGTTCAAACCCCAATACCCACAAAAAAAAAAAAAAAAAAAAACCCAAAACAAAAACAACAAAAAAACCTGTGTTAATGTGTCAGTGTGGCTATTTACTAGTTAAGTAAACTTTGACCATTATTTAACTTCTGAGTGTCTTTCCTTACTTATAATTATGGACAAAAAAATCAATTTCATAGCTTGTTGAGAAAAATGAGATACTATAGGCAAAGTAGCTGGCACATGGACTTAGTGATGGCTCTTGTTATTATGAGCACATTTATTATGAAGCCAGAACTGCATGAAGTCAACAAGCTAAATTAATCACTCTTGGCCCAGCCTGGCCAGTCTTTCTGTGTCCTTAACAGAATTATCTAGGATTTTAAGTTTGAACATGAGCAGATGATTTGTAAGCAGGAAGGGGAAATTTGCCAAACCCAGGCTCAGCTGAAAAGCAGTTTTCTGAGAAAGAAGATTTCCCAGGCACACAAAATACATCAGAACCCCAGCTCTCCAAGTGTTTACTTCAAGGCCTTACTCTTGATGGCTGCCAATTAGATGCTAAATTTAGATGGGTTCTTTGTCCTCCTCACTTTGGCATGGCAACATTTGGTAGGAACCAAGTTCCTTATGTAACAGAGCTGCTTGCTGAGTTGGCAGTAATTGGGGAGGCAGCCTATGAAATCTGGTCCAGCCCAGCTGGTAGAGAGGCAGGCTTTCCTCAGACCATAGCCAAGCTTCTGCATTGTAAAGGACAGTGGGGAGGAACTGAGTGAAGGGAGGATATTACAAGTTAGAAGGGGCCAATGTCAGAAACAAACTGCTCCTCAGGGGGGGAAAAAAAAAAAAACCTTGTGCAAAAATAATTTAAAAACTTAATAATATAGGAAAGAAACACTATTTCTACTGAAATTACATAAAAATACAATGGTTCTTACTCTATCAGAATGCAAGTTCCCATGGTCTGTTTCTTTCTTTTCTTTAAAAGGATTTATTTAAGTATAACAGAATAAAGTAGAAAGAAGTGGGGGAAAGGAAGAAAAACATTCCTGCTCCCCAAAATGGAAATGGAAGCAAAGATTCAAAATGGTGGTTCATATCTATGCTCTTACACTTTCCCGGGCTAGGGGAATACGTGTGATCAGAAATCTAGCAACTCCAATCGTTAGACAATAGTTTTCCATGGTCTATTTAAGGTCTTAGTTACCTGACAACTGAAAACCTCTTAGAATGCAGCTCACTAAACCACTAAGACTCAAATCATTAATATGTCACTGTTTTACCTAGACAGCACCCCTTCTCCCCTGCCAAAGCCCCCCCAACAAAAACAAACAAACAAACCCAACTGTGACTACTTATTCATTTTTGCTGGCATTAAACTTCTCAGGGGGAAAAAAAAAATAGACTGTGGATTTTTTCCCACAAACAGGTGTGGGACAGACTTTTCTGTGCAGTCTCCAAAGGAAAACCCTGGAGTGTGCTGAAAGCCCCGGTGACCTGGGAATGGCTTCCCTCTTATTGAATGGTGTTTATTTTAGCAGGCTAGGAGAAGAATACCTAAAGGGGACAGGGATGGGATTAAGCTAAAAAAATGTCAAGACAGGTCCTGCTGGAAGTTCAAGTCGGAGTTTGCTATCAGAAGTTCTTGTCTGCACATATGAATAAAAAATATATATATATAAAAAAGTTATTGTTCTTTCCCACCACACATTTGTAGCCCATCAGCTTGGACACCTAGGTATTCCTATTCAACCTGATTCCCTCCCAAGTACAGACCATCAAAGATGTACCAAACACAACAGCATCTGATGGACCAATTCTTTCCCTTATGTTTCTCCTTCAGCACATAATGCCTTGGGTCAGTTTAGAGTCACACTTAAGAAAAACTTAGTCTATTAACTTAGCACAGAGATGGAAAATACCTAGTTCACTTACAATCATGGTAGTTTCTACTGAGCCCAGATCTGCCTCTGAATCACCCTCCATACTGATAGTTGTTACCAAATGCTGGGTTGGTATGTAGGGTAGAATCTGACCATCATGTTTGAGTTAGGAATTCATTCACGTTATTTTTACCAAGTGCTTAGAATATCAAGCACTGACTAGCATTACCCTGAGTTCACAGAGATAACTAAGACTCACTCACTGACCTCTGGGAGCAAATACTTTTTGGGGGTGCACCACTACATATGTCTGACTGTAAGAGGTAATGAATACTAATAAAAGATAGCTGTATGAAAAGTGATGACAGCAAAGAGCTGTAGTTATGCTCAAGAGGCAAGGGACAGAGGTCAAGGAGCGTTCATAAATATAACATAGGGGTGGTTACTATGAAGACATGGGAGTTTGGATAATGGAGACACTTGCAAGGCCAGTGCTCCACCACTTGGGCTTCCCTCGCCCCCTCAAGTGTGTATGATGAACTGAAGGCACGGCAGAAGAATCTGATGAGACTGGAAAGATTATGAATCTGAACTTCACTTTGATGGCAAAGAGAATCCAACAGAAGCAAAGAAATTGTGGATCTTCTGTCTAAAGTGTATCCAGAAGGTAGAAATGATGTGTTTGTCCAACATGGTTTTTAGATCCTTTATCCTGCACATGGCTTCATCTCTGAGTACAGCTATCTCGATGTCTGTTCTACTCTGTACCTACACTTCATGCACTAAGCATGAGAAGACATGCATGGCTACTTCATTCTTGACCTCATACCCAGCAATCCTTACCTGTCCGCTGAGCCAGCTGCTATTTTGCTTCCATCAGGTGACCAAGAACATCTTAGAAGATTCTAAAATGATGAATAAGCAGGAACTCACTGAATATTAACATACCAAATTCCTCTTTGTATACTACAGAATCACTGACTTTATATTTCCTAAGTAGACTTTTAGTTATTCTCCCCAGAAAGATGATCAGCAATTATCTCATATTCTGTGGCTCAAAACAGCATACTCTGTTATTTTATACCACATAAAAACTGTAGAAAATGCTTAATTTACAGTTATTAAGGTTGGAACTGGCAACAAAAACTTGTTCTGCCTATAAACAGTTTTTCTCCATTTATCTTGATCCTCATTAAAGTTTATTGTTTGCCTTGTTTTTTTTGCTTTTATTCTTTTTTTTCCTGTTAATATTGAAGAAAAATAAAAATTAAACCAAACCCAACAATAAATAAGATTTGACTTAAAAGCAAAACATTCTCAATGAACTCGAGGAAAAGCTCCTTCCAATAGAGCTGACCTGGGAACTTGAGGGCTTGAGAAAAATTGTTGTCCCTCAGCACTTGGGCCTCGGTGATTACTGAGGGGATGGATGTGCTCTTAGGGTTCTAACAGCTGGCCACTGGGAGTGTGAGGGAGGACATTTGGGTAACATAATAGTCTGTAACATTGATCCAACAGGGTGGGCCAGGAGTGTCCTGTTGAGAGTTGACTGAAGTTGGAAGTCCTCAGTGTGGGAGCTAGCTTCATTGCTATCTAGCTATGTGACTGCCTTCTCCAATATGCCTCTGCTGGTTTTATCTGTGAGGAAGAGTTTTGAGCCAGGTGTGGTGGTACACGCCTATAATCCAAGCACACAAGAACTTGAGGCATGAAGATCTCAAGTTCCAGGCCAGCCTAGGCTACACAGCATGACCCTGTATCTAAACAAAACAAAACAAAAAAACCACCCCGCAAACAAACCAGTTTTGGTGACAGTTACTAGAACCTATCTCGTTCCTAGCAGAGTGAACCCTCTCTATCCTTAGCATCATCTTAAATGTTTCTTTAAATCAAATGGACAGTAAAACCCCTTTGCTATACAGAACTCACCTTTTCAAAGTTGTGCACATTTCCTTGAAATATCTTCACACATCTCTCTTTTGGGGCAAATGGTCGGACATCCCAAACACGCACTGCAAAACAATACAAACCAACCAGCCAATCAAAACAACTATCAGCCAGAGGCCTCCTGAGAACCCAGCTGAAACTAGTACCATGTAAATGATTAATGCTGTTTCCTGGGTAGAGGAAGTCCAACATGGCATTCCATTACCTGGTAAAGCAAGTTCCTTTTTCTATGGGAATATACTGCAGCAAAGCCCCATTAACTGGGGCTAAAGAACAGAGGAAAGCTGAGGAACTAGGAAGGAAAAATGAGGAACACATTTTTGGGAATTTGAAATAGAATGTGTTTGGGAACAACATATGATTCCTCTGCCAACTCAAGAGTCACATCCATTTAAGCTTTGTAATTTTTAATTTATTTTATTAAATTTTTTATTTATTTTAATGTAATAATTATTAAATAATTTAAAAATTAATAAAATAAAAATGTAAATGATTACTTTTAAGGTAATCAAAATATCACTGACTCTATAAAAACCCAACTTAATATTGACTTTCCCTAGTTTTCCTCATGTGGGAATTCTGACAGTCTAAACTTGAACAAGGTCAAATATAATAAAAAAATACTATACTAATAATCAGAAAACATGAACTTTGTTGTCCTGTCATTCTCCATCCCCCCATGCTAGGGACTGAACTCATGGCCTCATGTATGCTAGGCAAGCATTCTCCCACTGAGTTACATCCCTGGTACCATAAAACGTGAACTTTGATCTAACCGTAGCTCTGTTGTATAAATGGGTTATGTCAAGTAAATAGTGGGATCGTTTGGTTTCCTACTCTGTAAAATTAAGAGAAAAAAAAAAATCACTTTTTTTTTAAAATAAGGACTACGTATTTTAAGGATAATCATAAACATGAAATTCTTCTTAAACTATTATTTAAACGTAAAGTACATGGGGGAAAACTCACTGTTCCTCACTACAAAGAATGTTAGAATGGGTATATAATGGAGGGGCGAGTTCAGTGTTCAAGATAACACTGTATGCATGTATGGATATTATCATGAAGAAATCCTTCATATTATTGATGGATTGATAATTAAAAAAAAAAAAAAAACATAAGAATGCTAGAATTTGCCAAAGGTTAAAATCCCACAAAGTGCAAGATATGCATTAGAAAACAGCCAAGGATAGCTATACCCCACTTTGTAACTGAACACACTTCTACAGAGGAAATTTAAGTGATGCCCATTTACTTTCATGTGAAAAATACTAACTTGGAGTTCACAGGCATAAAAAGGCAAAAATATGCATGAAAATTTGCTATTAAGATGAGAATATACACTCAGAAATAAAAATGACCATTCCTTGCACATTTAATTGAATGCCAGGTTCCTGGTTTTTGGTTACAAAACTTCAGCGAGTGTATTTTATTTATTTATTTTTATTTTTTTGGTGGCACTGCAGTTTGAACTCAGGGATCTCACACTTGCTAGGCAGGCTCTCTATTCACTTGAGCCACTCCAGCGAGCCCAGTGAGTTGTATATTAGCTCTGATAAGGCTATAAAAGTTGTATACCAGGGGCATTTCTAACTTCCCCAATATTTAGCATATATCCTCTTTTTTGCTATAGTAAACCACTTCCAATTAGAAATTCAAAAACAAAAAAAGAAAAGGGAACAGTACTGTTTGTGTAATCCAGACTGCTCTGAGATGCCCTTTTTGCAGTGGGGAGAAGAATAAGAAGAGCACACAGGTCTATGGATTACAGAACTCAGTGTTCTTCTGCAAATGCTTGAGAACTCCTCAATATACCACAGAATCTATCTTTTCTCTTTAAGCAGCCAAGTTTCAGGTATCCTGCGTTGAATATGCAGCATACCAAAGCTGAAACGGCCCTTTAAACCAGTGAAGTCTAAGTCTCTGTAATTTATCGCACGTAGAACTGATGCCCAGAGACAAGAAAAATGTATGTGTAAAGCTGTTTCAAGGACACACAGCAAGGATTAGAGTCCTGGATTTTTGGACATCTTGTCAAAGCTTTAGCCACTACATGTTCTGATTAATTGCAGGTAGAGGCTGTGAGCCATTCGACTCTTTCCATGGACTTTAATTTAATCTCGAACACATTTTTAAAAATCTTTTTGCAGGTGCTAGGGCTTAAAACCCAGGGATGTGTGCATGTTAGGAAAAGCTCTAAACCACTGAGCATACCCTCTTGTCCCACTATTAAGTAATTTTGTTAATACTTAAAGCCCACTTTTTTAGGGTCCCACAGTGATGAGCTGGACAAGTTTTTCCTTGTCAATTACATGTATTGTCCATTGCATTGGACAAAGAGGTAGAGCCTTCAGAACTTAAAGCTCAGGCCAGTCACTGAAATCTGCGTGGCCTCCTTCATGGTGTAGGTTAGTTTGTTTTTGGCGCAGATCAGACCTGCAAAAAAACAAAAAAAATGCTTCAGAAAATCAAATTGAGAAATAGCCAGAGAAACAAAAATCACTCAACAATTACTTGGAAAACCTTGAGCCCTTATTAAATCTGGCTCTGGGCCAAATATCACTTTTATCACAAAGTACAGAAAAAACTCTTTGCCTCTAAGAAATGGAGTCAAAGTGACTATGTCTGATTAGACAAGTTAAAATGAATGTCAAACATTAAGATAAAGTTGAATAAAAAATACTAATATAGAGGTTTATTTTCAAATCATAACAAAATGATTAGGCAATAAAGAAAAAACAAATAGTATTTGAAATGCTTAAACTGTGATTCCTTAGCTAGCTAAAAAAGAAATTATAACTACAAATTAACAAAAAATAAGTTAAATATGTAATTTGGAAAAGACACTACATTTATGTAATACAAGTAATGCAGCAAAGATGATATGTAAACAGACTGATGCTCAAATTTTTTTTGAACTTTAATGCCAACAATAAAACACATGCAACAGTATGTATATGACCATATGTACATGTACATACATGTACACACACTTTGGAAAGCATATTTATTCAAAGAAAAAATAAAATACAGATTTACTACCGCCTATTCAAACAGGGAAGAGAAGGTTCATTAAATTGTGGCTTAGAGCACATGTGGAATAGCTATGAGCTCTTGCACAGGAAGATAGCTTGGCAGGGTGGAAACAGATTTTGGATCAGAAATGAATTGAAGTTTATAAGGCATCATGCACTAAACCTTTCTGAGCCCTGTTCTGGAAGACAAGGGAAATAACATGGTACTTCTTTTCTGGCAGTGCATGGATCAAACTGAGGGCCTTGTTACATGCAAGTCATGTGCTCTACCCACTGCTATACTCCAGCCCTCAAAATATCGACTTCTTACCGCTTTCTGAAAGATTGTAAGTAAGTGATGCTTATTGTATGCACAGCACATGCTGTCAAAAATTGATGGCTATTCCTAAAAAATAACTCTGAAGGCCAAATGTAAAAAATATTCACTATGATAAGATATTAAAGCAAAGAGGAAAACATAAAATAGTATTTACATGACTGCCAACTATGTAAAGTACAGCATTAAACCCTAACACAAATGGTCCCTGGATGTTCAAGTGGAAAACAGATTTCTTGTGAAGGTCACCCGGTATTATAAAAATTTCTACTTGAATTTTAATTTAACATTGTCAACTGGAAATTCTTCTTATATGAAAAAAATAACCTGACATCCTCTAAAAGCAAGGCACTTTCTCCAACAAGAAAGGCGTTAGGTAACATATGCCAGAAGCAATACAAAGGAAGACAACTCCCACTTCTCCATCATAAGTCATTCGGTGTGTGGAGCCAAAACACCTTTATATACAATTAATGCTTTTGGTGCAGGAAATGTTTGCTGCCTCAAGTAAAGGCAAGTTGAAAATGGCTGACACTTTGTTCAAGCTGCTGTCTCTCCTCTTCGAAAAGGCACTGTTGAAATCTTCAGCCTAATGTACCACATGTAGGAGAGCGGTGCACTTTGCCACCTCTCTTAGCACTTGTGGTGCTATTTCCAGACCCATCTCTCCTTGAGGCCTGCAATCTTTTCTGTGTAGAGCCAGAAATTATCTAGCTAATTGCCACAGTCATTTCTGTGGCAATAATTTAATAAGCACAAAAATTTTGCAAAAATGTTTAATTAGTTGCTCAATGCCATGTTGGGCATCTGATTTGTAAGCAGAGTAGTCACCAATGGAGATTAAAAAAAAAACAAAAAAACAAAAAGTCCCCTGTCCTCCCCGAGAGCATTCATTCTTAGCAAAGGAAAAAACAGATTTGTAAGTACGTAATGATGAGGCCTACACAAGTGCAAGACCAGAGAGGGCAAGAACGGTTTAACTTTTTGTGGAACAGGAGGTGAGAGTGGGAAAGGGGAAGCTTTCCCAGAGAAAAGGAAGCGCACCTGAACAAAGTATGGAAAAGAAGAGATAATGTTTTTCTAGAACAAAGTATGAAGTGTATTTCCAGGTTGGGTGAGGTATGAACAGAGGTAAGACAAATCGCTGGAGTGTAAAGGAGACTCGGCCCAAAAAGACAGCGCAATGACCCTTGGGATTTTACACAGGCGGAGTCCAATTCATGAAAAGGTTTTGAATGCATGGCTTGGACTTTAACCTCCCCTCACTGGTGGTCCAGAAGGGTTCAAGTAGAGATGAGTTGGGCAGATCTGCATTTTACAAAGATTTTTCTGGCCAGATGAAGTCTAGAGGTAGAAATCAAAAGGGATGGCCTCTATTCTATCCCTTCAATCACTACATTAAATCAAAGAAACAGCTCTCAACTGAACTCACACTCTAGTCCATTTCCCAGTCGACAGTTTTTTTGGTACTGAGGAATCAAACCCAAGGCTTTATGTAAGCTAAGCACCATACTCTGCAATAAGCTCCACCCCCACCCTCCAAAACTAGGCTCTTTTGAAGGAGCACATCCTAATGTGAGGCAGGATAAGCGGATTTTTTCCATAGTGAGTAGGTGTTCAAGGTTGTGTTTTAAACATACTTGAATAATTTGTTAGAGGCAAGACAAAGTGGAAAATTATTAGTCCTCTGGAGAAACATAGTCTGATCTGCCTCTAGATACTGAGTGAATCAATTAACTATGGATCTTTGCCCCAAATCCTTAATCTTTAGGGCCTGCTTAAATCATCTATAAGAAGCATGGAGCTGGAAGTGTGGCTCAAGTGGTAGAGGAACCTGCTAGCAAGCAAGAAGCTCTGGTTCGAACCCAAATACTACCCACAAAAAAAACCAAAAGAGGCATGGAATTTAAGGTGTCTTTAGGTTTTGGACAATTTCCAAGTCTATTTCGGATTACAAAGAAGCCACCCCCCTCTCTTTTTGCCTGTCTAAAGAAACTTAATAGCTCTGGGATAATTAAGAATGCTTCTTGGGTCTTGGGGTGTAAACTCTGGTAACTTACTAATGTGTGGGGCCCTGGATAAAATACAACAGAAAAAAAAAAATTTGTGGGAATGTAACTAGTACAACCACTCTGGAAAAAAATTTGGAGGCTAATTAAAAAGCTAGACATTGATCTACCATTTGATCCAGCAATACCACTCTTGGGGATATACCCAAAAGACTGTGACACAGGTTACTCCAGAGGCACCTGCACACCCATGTTTATTGCGGCACTATTCACAATAGCCAAGTTATGGAAACAGCCAAGAAGCCCCACCACTGACGAATGGATTAAGAAAATGTGGTATCTATACACAATGGAATTTTATGCAGCCATGAAGAAGAACGAAATGTTATCATTCGCTGGTAAATGGATGGAATTGGAGAACATCATTCTGAGTGAGGTTAGCCTGGCCCAAAAGACCAAAAATCGTATGTTCTCCCTCATATGTGGACATTAGATCAAGGGCAAACAAACAAGGGATTGGACTTGAGCACATGATAAAAGCGAGAGCACACAAGGGAGGGGTGAGGATAGGTAAGACACCTAAAAAACTAGCTAGCATTTGTTGCCCTTAACGCAGAGAAACTAAAGCAGATACCTTAAAAGCAACTGAGGCCAATAGGAAAAGGGGACCAGGAACTAGAGAAAAGGTTAGATCAAAAAGAATTAACCTAGAAGGTAACACACGCACAGGAAATCAATGTGAGTCAACCCTGTATAGCTATCCTTATCTCAACCAGCAAAAACCCTTGTTCCTTCCTATTATTGCTTTACTCTCTCTACAACAAAATTAGAAATAAGGGCAAAATAGTTTCTGCTGGGTATTGAGGGGGTGGGGGAGAGGGAGGGGGCGGAGTGGGTGGTAAGGGAGGGGGTGGGGGCAGGGGGGAGAAATGACCCAAGCCTTGTATGCACATATGAATAATAAAAGAAAAAAAAAAAGTATATACCCACAGTGGGGATACATACAGAATCCCTTTGAACATCAAACTTAAATATTATATAATGAAAGACAGGACTGAAAATAGGCTCAGTTGTGGTTGGAAGGGTGAGACTAGAGGGAGGGGTATGAATGAAGGAGATAAGGTGAGGGTATATGGTTGATGAATTTCATGTACTTATATGCAATAGAAAAAGAAACCTCTTTGTAATTGCCTTTAAGTAGGTAGGGAGGAGTTTTGGGGAGGAAGAGGAATTGGTGATCTAACAATGTAACAAAATAAGCTTAATTGGAACTGTCACTATGAATCCCCCATGTAAACGAATATATCCTATAAAGAATTTATAATTAAAAAAA